TCCTCCCCCACCCCCAAAAAGAGAGTTTCCTCTTCCTAGGTGTCATTTGTTCTTTGTTGTTGCCTTTTGTCTTTTGAGGAGGAACGGGGCGGGGGTGGGGGGAGCACAGAAATGGAGGAAAGAAGGGGAACAAATACAGTTATGGTACTCAGTAGGTAATATGTGGAAAATCAACTATGCAACTTGTGAGCAGGGATGGGAGGGGGAAACTGGGGGAAAGGAAGGAAGGGCTGACATTGTCCAAAAGAAATGTACTCATTATCTGACTTATGAAATGGTAGCCCCTCTGTATACAGCATCTTAATCATAACCAAAAAAAAAGTTACTTTCTGCTGTACTTCCTGAGCGCCACATACATTAGGGCTGGAAATCTTCTATGAGATCCAATTCTGGGTCTAAAGTACATTGACTTCATCCCTCTCCCCCCCCCCCCACACACACAACTTGTTCAGAGAATACCTGGGATTAAGTAGAAAATCATGCGCAAAATTAAATGTACAAATGAGTAGATAAACAAAATGTGATAGCCAGCAGAATATTGTTTAGCCATTGGGAAAAATAAAGGACATGTTAAACTAAAAGACCAAATATGGTATGATTTCACTTACATGAAATATTCAAAATAGGCAAATCAACAAAGACATAAAACAGTTTATTGGCTACCAGGGATTGGGAGAGGAGAAATTAAACTGTGGTATGTTTACAAGATTTCCTTTTGAGTTGATAAAAGCATTTTGGAAGTGGATGGTAGTGGTAGTTGTATAACACCTTGAGAGTACAAGATGTTACAAAATTATACAGGTTAAAATGGTGAATTCAAGCCAGGAGTAGGTACCTCATACCTGTAATCCTAGCTACGCAGGTGGTTGAAATTTGAGGATCACGCCTCGAAGCCAGCCTGGGCAGGGGACTCATCTTAATTAACCACCAAAAAACCAGAGGTGTAACTGTGGCTCAAATGGTAGAATGCTAGCCTTAGTGTAAAAGCTAAGAGACAGGGCTCAGGCCCTGAGTTCAAGCCCTAGTACTGGCAAAATAAATAAATAAATGCATGCATAAGTAAGAAAAAAATAAAACCGTGAATTCATGTTACCTGCATTTAACATGAAAGAAAATGGAAAGCACATTTCTGGCGAGAAGATGGCAAACTTTGATGAGACTCTCAAAAGGCTGAGTAGCTCTGATGTCGTCTGACACTTTCATGAGGCACAGGAGGAATGAGATCTGTACGAGGTCACTCAGGGGCTGGTAGCAGAGCCCAGTCAGGTTGCATAGCTGCCTGACCCTCCATCCCTCTCACCTGCTCTTCCCTGGTCCTTTGGTCTCCTTGAAACCTTCTAGACAGGCTACCCCCAAACTGTGACACTCTCCCAAATTAAAAGGCCTTTGGAGAAAGGCGTTTCAAGAGTGTTGGTCTTTTTGTATTTTTTCTCAGTGGACTCTGATCTCCAAGAGGGGAAGAGAAGACATTTCTCACTTTTCCCATGTTTCTCAGAGTTCCGGTGGCAGCCACAGAGGTCAACGTGCCCGTTTCCCTTCTAGAAAGAACTTGCTCCTCACCTGCAAGGAGGGCACTTTGCTGGCAGTCTCTGATGAACATTCTTTGTCCTTGGACGCTGGGTTAGCTTAGGCTGTCAGATCTGTAACAGTCATGACTCTCCTGGCCCAGGCTTGCTTTCTTCCCCTTTAACTTTTTATTTTTCTTGTGCTGGTACTGGGGATCGAACTCAGGGCCTGGGCACTGTCCCTTAGCTTTTTTTTTTTTTTTTTGGATGGTTCTGGGCCTTGAACTCTGGGCCTGCTGACGCTAACCTCCTTTTGCTCAAGGCTAGCACTCTACCATTTTGAACAATAGCACCACTTCTGGCTTATTTTGTGATTAAATGGAGATGTCTCATGGACTTTCCTGCCTGGGCTGGCTTTGAACCATGATCTTCAGCTCTCAGCTTTCTAAGTAGCTAGTATTAGGGCAGGAGCCACTAGTGCCCAGAGTCCCTTAGCTTTTTTGCTCGAGGTTGGTACTCAACACTTGAGCCACAGCTCTGCTCCCAGCTTTTTTGGTTGTTAATTGTAGATGAGTCACAGACATTCCTTCTGGGGTTGGCTTTCAATCTTGATTCTCAGATCTCAACCTCCTGAGTAGTTAGGATTACAAGCATGAGCCACCGGGGTCTGGCTATGTTTTATTTTTAACTGGCAAATAAGTGTATATATTTGTGGGGTACGGTGTGGTTTTGATGCCCACTTTCTCCATCTTCCATAGGCCTTACTGAAAGTACACATAAGCTCTCCAAATCTCAGAAGTTTCCCTTCAATCTGGCCTGCCCTATGTCTGACAGATTAACTGCACAGTAAAGTTAGCTAGGTACACACAAACCCTTTCTGCCCAAGCACTTCCTGTAACACCCAAGTTACAGGAGAAGGCTACACCTTCAAGGGTGCTGACCAGCGCCTCTGACCACAACAAACACCAGACCCGTCACTTTCATCAACACAGAAGTTGATTATTCACTGTCTTCATTTCTTTCTCCTCATCTTCCCCACCTTCTTCTTTTTAAAAAAAATTTACATATTTTAGGCAGAGTCTCTCCTTCTGTTTTGGCCTTCTGAGTGCTGGAACTACAGACATAAAAAGACTTTTTTTTTTCTTTTTTTGTCAGTTGTGAGGCCTGGGCACTGTCCCTCAGCTCTTCAGCTCAAGGTGACCACTCTACCATTTGAGCCACAGCACCACTTCTGGTTTTCTGGTGGTTAATTGGAGATAAGAGTCTCATGGACTTTCCTGCCTGGGCTGGCTTTGAACTGTGATCTTCAGATCTCACTTTCCTGAGTAGCTAGGATTATAGGCTCTTTAGAGCAAGTTGTAAGATGGCTGTGGAAGATGAGAGCCTGCCATCTTCTCACAAAGCTTGTTCTCATTCATTCTCCATTCATCGGTTCCATTGGTTGGCAGCAGACCCAAACCCGGTGCAGACATCTCATCATAGCCTGTCCCACCCTGCCATAAACCTCCGTCCCTCCCTGCCATAAACTTCATGCCCTCCCATCTCCACCTCAGCATTTTGTCTGTTCCCAGGAGAACCCAAGGGACACAGCATCACATGGTGTACCCTATAAAGGTAGCCAGTGCATGCTCATGGAATGGATGAACTGGAGACTGAGGGTATACCTCAGCTGGAGGGGAGGGGCTGCCCTTGGAGGGTATCTCAGTGTAGGGGAGCCTGGAGAGGGGCATGCCGCTGGAGAGGGGTCCAGCACTGGGGAGCACACAGGCATACGGGCAGTTAACCAGCTCCACCATCTTCCCCAGTGCCTCCTCTGGAGAAAACTGCTGCCATGCTCAGAAATAGTCCCAGGGCCTTAGATTTGAGAAAACCAGCTTCAACTTGTGGTTTTTGTTAACCAGGTAATTGTATTCCCTCTCCTGTCAAGAGCCCAATTTCTCCATCTAAAAATGGATACATAAACCACTAAAGATACTAGTTTAAACTGTATACTTGATTCTTACAGTGGGGAAGGGAAGCATTGTAACTTTTTTGTTGTTTTGTGTGCAGGTCCTAAGGCTTGAACTCAGGGCCTGGGCACTGTCTCTGAGATTTTGTGCTCTAGGCTTATGCTCTACCTCTTGAGCCACAGCAACATTTCTGGTGTGTGTGTATGTGTGTGTGTGTGTGTGTGTGTGTGTGTGTGTGTGTGTGTGTGTGTGTGTGTGTGTGTGTGTGTGTGGTGAATTGGAGATGAATCTCATGGACTTTCCTGCTCAGGCTGACTTTGAACCTTGCTCTTCAGATCTTAACTTCCAGGGTAGCTAGGATTAGTGGAAATTTTAACTTCTGTGAGAAACCTTGTGCTCAGACTGATTAAGAAACTGCAGAATGCACAGTCAGCAAGCAAGGAGAGTTTGGAAGCACAGCTAGTTCTGTCTGGCTCTGAGTCTCCATTATTGGACACACAATCACTGAACAATAGTCCTAGACTAAAAACTCTGGGATAGGGTGGAGCAAAGAGACTGGCTGTCCCTGCTCTTGTGGGGCTTACATTATGACACTGACTTGACAATGGGTGTCCTCATAAACAAGCAGAATAAATTCCAGAATGCATTAGAGAGAGCTCTAAAGAAAGAAAAGGGGAAAGTGGCATTGTGAGTCAAAGTGGTAGAGCGCTAGCACTGAGTGAAAAAAGCTCATGGACAGCGTTCAGGCTCTGAGTTCAAGCCCCACAACTGACCAGAAAGGTAGGAAGGGAGGGAGGGAAAGAGAGAAGGGAAGAGGAGGGAAAGAGAGAAGAAGGAGATTGAGGGATAAGGAAGGAAGAGAGAGAAGGAGGGGAGAGAAGGGAAAGAAAGGGAATGAAGAAAAATGGGAAAAAGTGGAAAGAACGGAAGGAAGAAGAAAAGGGGGAAAGGGAGGGAGAGAGGAAAGAGGCAGGAAAGACAGGAAAAGCAGGTGTCCTTATAAACTTGACATCACAGAGAAGAGCTATTTTATTGGGTCAGCATCTCTAAGGACTGAGAGGAGCAGAGGGAGAAGACCCCTACATCTGGACACAGCCTGGGCAGGCTGGGAAGTGATAGAAGGGCCGGTCCCGGGATGGGGGCGCTCAGCGCGGGGGTGGGGACAGGTATGGGGGTGTGTGCCTCAACTCCAGAAAGCCAGCCGCCCGGGGGTCCACATCACCTCCGGGGAGGAGCAATCCTGGGTCACTCTGTTTGCAGAAATGGCAGTCAAAAAGCCCAGGGCTGATCTGCAGGCCGTGCTGGGGGTCAGAGAAGGAGGGAGGAGGCCGGGGGTCGACAATCGCGGTCGCCTGCTGCGGGGGTGCGGAGGGGGGGCTCGTCTGGTCCCCCGCCCCGGCCGCTCCCGCTGCGCCCCCACTGCCTGCGGCCCCCCCCCCCCGGGGTCTGGGCCGGTGACCTCACGGCGCGTGCGCCACGTCGGCGGTGACGTCACGAGCCCCGCTCGGGTGTTCTGCCGGGGGCGCGCACGCTCCGTGAGAAAGATGGCAAGCAAGCCGTCGCCGTGCACGCTGCTCGGTGGGGGCGCGCCCCCGCGCGGGGCGCTGGTTGCTATGGACGCCGCGGCAGTCGCTGGGCCGGGCCTCGGGGGGTGCGGCGCAGCGCCGGCGTCTCGGGACCCAGCTGCCTAGGACAAGCTTGCAACTGGGGGCGGCACCATGAAGGCCATCAAGAAGGAATCCCGGATCAAAATGCCCACTAGCAGGCTGGTGGATTCCACAGACACCGTCAAAGGTGGGCGCTGGCTGCCCCGGGCGCTCAGGAGGCCCCATGGGGTCCTCGGGGACGGGGGTCCGCAGAGGGGGTCCGGAGGATGGGAGTGACACCAAGGATGGCAGTGAGCCCTGGGGCACGGGCTTCAGGACTTAAGGATAGTAGACCAAGGCAGAACCTCCGAAGGGCGGAGATACACCACACGGGGCCTTAAGGATGGAGTCGTAGACGGTGGTCTCTCAGAGGGCCCTCGGGGGCAGTGGCTGCGGAGAGCAGCAAGGGTAAGAGATCTCCACCTAAACCACAGCTCCAGACAGGATACTTGGGCTGGAAGCCCTGTCCAGGAACCGGGAAATGGTGCCCCCCCCCCCAAAAAAGGAGCCAGTCTCTGGTGGCTCACGCCTATCATTCTAGCTACTCAGAAGGCTGAGATCTGAGGATCACAGTTCAAGTCAGCCGGGTTAGGAAAGTCTGTGAGACTCTTATCTCCAGTTAACCCCTAGAAAACAGGAAGAAAACAGGAAGTGGCACTGTGGTTCCAAATAGTCGAATACTAGCCTTGAGCAAAAAGAGTTCAGGGCTCCCAGGCCTGGAGTTCATGCCTCACGACCAACAAGAAAAAAGGGGGGCGGGCAGTTTGAGAAGTACGTTAAGATGAAGAAACTCATCTAACAGTTCCACTGGAAAAATCTAAAATGTCAAGTTGACTAGTTCTTTCAGACCACCTTTTCCTGTCCACGCTAGTCAGCCATATGACACTGTGTTCAACCAGGGGTCACTAGACTTGACTGCTCCACAGTTCCCATTTGCAGCCCCATTCCCTGGGGATGGAACTCAGAGCCTTGAACATGTTTCACTTCTGTGCTACCTACCTCCCCTCAAGACCTGTTTTCACTGCTATGTGTGGATGCTACGTTGGGCATCAACAGTGGGCATTTGGCAGTATTGGTGTTATATATAAGAGATTCTAGCCTCAAGAAGTTCAGAATCAAGCCAATGCTGGTTCTTCACCTCGTGATCCTAGTTAGGAGGCTGAGATCTGAGGATTGTGGTTTGAAGCCAGCCAGGGTAGGCAACATCCATGAGACACTTAATCTCCAATTATTCAGCAGAAAGCTGGAAGTGGAGGTGTGACTCAAGTGGTAGAGCACCAGCCTTGAGGGGAAAAGCCAAGCACAACACCATGAATCCAAGCCCAGTCCTGGCACATGTGCACACTGGCACACAGGTACGTGTGCGTGCACGCGCGTGTGCACGCGCGCGCACACACACACACACCAATTCATTCTAGAAATGCTGGAGGGGTCCCCTCATGCTGTGATGCAGATGCCCCTGTGGGTGAAGAACTCACCCTTGGGGGTGAGGAACCTGACACAGGCCTTGCATAGTAGGTTTAGGGGAAAGAAGGTGAAGAAGAAGGGGAGATCTATGACAGATCTAAAGAATAAAAGTGTTGGGGATACGATTCATTAAAATGCTGTGGGTATAGTTCATTAAAAGAGCACTTGCCAGGTATATGCCAGGCTTGGAAACATTTTTTTAAAAATTGAAAGAAAAAGTGTGTGTGTGAGGAGTTTTCTCCAGGGTTAGGGAGCAGCTTAAGTTCATGAACCTATGAACATGAGATCCAGAGAGTGGCGTGCCAGTGAACAGGGACCAGATGATGAAAAGGCTTTGCATACAAGGTTAGAAAGACAGGTTGTGCTTTTGCAGGCCCTGGGAGGAGCAGGCCCTCAGTCAGCAGGGTCCCCTGGGAGGCCTGGAAAACTAACAGAAGCCTTGTTGCTTTTCAGCCTAGCTTTCTTTTATGCTTCTTCATAGTATAAAAAGCTGATGCTGGTTCGTGACATACTTTTTAATAGCTAAGAGAGAGACAGGAAGAACATACAGATCTGGTTCCCTTTCCCAAGGGCAAGTCAAGGACTTTCCTAGCCACTGCCTCCTGCTCACCCACCTTTCTGCCCAGTCTTAATCAAATTGACCTTTCAGCTGTCAACAAATCAAAGGAAGATTTCTTTTCACTGTATATTGATTTTTAATAAGGGGAAATTCAGTATGTTAAGTAGTCCTTGGGTTAAGAACATGCACCTGGGAAAGGAAGAAAACAAGGAAGTATTTATAACATGCAAGGTCCCTTTTTCCTGAACTTTCTCAGGGAAGCCTCTAATAGGGGAGCATTTACTCCCTGCTCCCCAATGTAAAATAGCCAACCTGCCTATGGACTGTGGTACTCTTGGGCTGCATTTCTTCACAGTCTCTGAGTTCTGGACACAAAGGCAAGCCAAAATGGTGACTGGAAACCTATTTAGGGACTCAACAGGAAAGACTTTTAGCAGCACCAGATCCCCCTGTCCCACTTGCTAAAGCTCTGCACTGGTAATCCCTACCTTAGTTTCTAGTGCAAGCCTAGGTCATTTGCTTGCAGATTTTCATTAACATTAGAAAGAATAACATTTGGATGAATGGAGAAGCAGAAAAATCAAATCCAGGTTTCTTTTCCTTCAGTAGTGTCCCCCCCTCCCACCACCTCCACTCCAGCCTGAGCACCTGGCTTCCAGCTTCTTGGTGTAGCTGTAGCGGAGCAGTCACCTGACTGCCCCATGCAAGGGAGCTGGTCTACCTGACCCTCAGCTGCTAGGATGCATGGAGAAGTGCCAACTGTGAGGCTCAAGAGCAGCTCTACTCAGCTCGAATTTTTAGAACAAAGAACAGGAAAGAAGCTGAGTACCAGCAGCTCACACCTGTAATCCTAGACTGAGATCTGAGGATCAAGGTTTGAAGCTAGCCCAGGCAGGAAAGTATGTGTGACTCACCTCAAGTTAAACCCCTGGAAAGCTGGAAGTGGATCCATGGCTCAAGTGGTGTAGAGTGCTTTCCTGGAGCAAAAAAGCTAAGGGGCAGTGCCCAGGCCCTGGGTTCAATCCCCCCTCCCCCTCCCCCCTACACAAACAAAAAGGAAAGAGCTGGCTGGACCTTTACAGGCTCAGGAGTGATATATCTCCACCCTGTGAATTCTCTGGCAAATCTAGAGGTGCTCTTGGAGAGCACATCTAAAGAGAAGGAGCCATTCTGTTCCCTTCATAGCATCTATTTGGTTTATAGCACATACAAGGCGCTTGGTGAATATTCTTTTTTTTTGAGGTGGGGGGGTCCAGTCGTGGGGCCTGAACTCTGGGCCTGGGCGCTGTCCCTCAGCTCTTCAGCTCAAGGCTAGCACTCTACCACTTGAGCCACAGCACCACTTCCAGCTTTTTTCTTTTTGCTTATGTGGTGCTGGGGAATCGAACCCAGGGCTTCATGCATGCAAGGCAAGCGCTCTACCACTGAGCCACCTTCCCAGCCCTAGGTGAATATTCTTAAGAGTGAATTTAACTTTAAAATGTGCAGATTTTTTTCCGCCGGGCCTTGAGGCGTAACCTCTGGGCTTAGGCCTTGTCTCTGAGCCCCTTTTGCTCACAGCTAACACTCTACTACTTGTGTCACCACAATGTCACTTCTGGCTTTTTCTGTGATTTAATTGTAGATGAGAGTCTTACAGACTTTCTTGTCCGAGCTGGTTTTGAACCATGATCCTCAGATCTGAGTTGCTAGGATTACAGGCATGAGCCACTGGCACCTGGCTTGCAGATCATTTGAACTAGTGTTTGTATCATACCCTGGTTGTATGCAGCATTAGAATATTTATTGTACTAATCTCATAGGCCAAGCATATACATGGTGCATGGCTATAATCCCAACTACTTGAGTCAGGCGCTGGTGGCTCTCACCTGTAATCCTAGTTACTCAGGAGTCTGAGATCTGAGGATCTCAGTTCAAAGCCAGTCTGAGTAGGAAAGTCTGTGAGATTCGTATCTCTAATTAACCACCAGAAAACCGAAGTGGTGCTGTCTCTCAAGTGGTAGAGCACTAGCCTTGAGCTGAAGAGCTGGGGGTCAGTGCCCAGGCCCAGAGTTCAAGCCCCAGCTATTTGGGAGGCTGAGATATGAGGATTAGGGTTTGAGACCAGCTTGAGCAAAAAGTAAATAATACCTATTTCAATCAACAAGCCAGGCATGGAGTTTTTTTTGTTTTTTGTTTTTTGTAACCCCATCTATGTGGGAGACATAGGTAGGACCATGCTTCAAGCTGGCCCCAGGGAAAAACAAGACCTTATTTGACAACTACAAATAGGAAAAAGGAGGAAGGGGGGATAGGTGGTATGACTCAAGTGGTAGAGCATCTGTCTAGCAAGTGCAAGGCCCTGAGTTCAAACCCCCGTACCACCAAGGGGAGGAGAAATAGCTCAGAAAAAACCCTGATCAAAGTTTCTCTGGCTGCGTCAATTCAACCAACATGATAAATCAGCTTCTGTAAACAGGGTGGAAGTTTTTTTTTTTTTTGTCGGTCGTGAGGCTTGAACTCTGGGCCTGGGCGCTGTCCCTCAGCTCTTCAGCTCAAGGTGAGCGCTCTACCACTTGAGCTACAGCGCCACTTCCGGTTTTCTGGTGGTTTATTGGAGATAGGAGTCTCACGGTCTCTCCTGCCCGGGCTGGCTTTGAACCGCGATCCTCAGATCTCAGCCTCCTGAGTAGTTAAGATTACAGGCGTGAGCCACCAGCGCCCGGCCAGGGTGGAAGTTTTAGTGTCCAATCCTCTTCAGCAGTGTTGAAGGTTTCTACTTAGAAGTGACCATTTCCCCCTTACCAGGGAAAAACCCATCTAGAGACGTTTTAGGGAGGATGTAGACCAATCAAGGTGATAGACAGAAGAAAAGTTGTCCTGGAAAATATGTCAAAGCATTTATAAAATTCCAAGTAACTGGAATTACAGGCCTGCATCACCACGATTGGCCTCTGAGATAACCATGTACAATACAGTGCAGTAAATGTCCTGTAACAGCATACAGTCAGAGGGTAGTATATTCTGGTCAATAAAATATTCATTAAAATGTGTACATTTTAAATGCCTTCAACTAGTACCAGTTTGCTTGTGTGTGCCCACCTGAAAGGTGGGCAGGAAGAGAGAAATAGAAATGAATCCAAGTGGGGCATAGTAGTGCTTGCCTGTAATTCTAGCCCTTTGGAGGCAGAGGTGGGAAGATGGAGAGCCAGCTTGGGTTACATACTGAGACTCTGTTTTACAAACAAACAAAAATTATTCATGCAAACAAACAAAAATTAAAATCCAAAGCTGCAGCTCATGCCAGGATGGGTCAGTCTACTGGGCTGGGACTTAGGGGATAGGCAACGTCTGAGCTTCTGTGGTTCCCACTTGTGGCCAAAGGCTGGGCTTGGAGTTATGTTCAGAATGACGTTTGAATGATTCTGGTTTTTTTTTCTTCCCCACTCTGTGGACCTTAAAAAGTTTAATTTTGTCCAGGTGGTGTTGGTGGCTCACGCCTGTAATCCTAGTTATTCAGGAGGCTGAGATCTGAGAATCTGCAGTTCAAAGCCAGTCTGGGCAGGAAAGTTGGTGAGAGTCTTATCTCCAATAGCCACCTGAAAACTAGAAGTGATGCTGTGGTTCAAGTGGTAGAGCGCTTGCCTTGAGCTGAAGAGCTCAGGAACAGAGCCCAGACCCAGAATTCAAGTCCCAGGACTAAAAAAAAAAAATTAATTTTGTTGACCAAAATCTCTGTCTTGATAATGTCTCTTATTAAAGATTGATGTGGTGTCTTAAAGATTAGAGTACTTTTGTATGAAAATTTCATATAAAAACTTATTTTCTGAAATTAATATTTGCTAATGAAATCTTTTTTGGGTAATACTGGTGTTTGAACTCAGTACTTCGTTCTTGCTAAAAAGGTATTGTATTGCTAAACCAGACTTCCAGCCACATTTTTCCTTTATTTTTTTTTGAATAAGATTTTATGTGCTTGGGGCTGCACTGGATGCCCTTTTGCATTGCTGGGATCACAGACCTCAGCCACTAAAAATGTTCTTAAAAAATACAAAAAGCAGAGTTCTTTGACCAGCAGTAGATAAAACACCCTAACACAGGGCTTCGGTTTTTCTTCTGATTGTTTTGCATAGAGCCTTACCTTAAAGTGTTCTGAACCAGAGGGAAAAAGACAAACAAGATGTACCTTTGAACGGGTGAAGCCACCTGTAGGAAGGAAGGGAGTGTGTGTCCTCTTCTGCCCCATGTGATGTCAGTATCCTCCATTCTGGCTGCTACTTGAGAGAAGTTTAGATCTCACTTTTCCCCAGGCCTATGAGCCACTGTCATCATCCATCAGTTCATTATCTCCTGCAGACTCTTGAGTAATCTGGTCCTCACTCTCACAGTCCCTAGGCTACCTGTTGGCCTGCCACTGCCCCCAAGTAAACACAGAAGTCCTTGGCATGGCTCACTAAGCTCTTGGTGCTTTGGCTTCTACTTCCTGCTTCCTTTCTGCTTCCTACTTTCACCTCACTACACCCCAGCTATTTTTCCATGCGTGCTTTGAGTTCCAGGATGATAACCCCCTCTCCCGTGTCTCTGGGCCTCCCTGTGCAGCTCCCATTGGAACCTTTGGGCCAAAATGCCATTTCACATCTCTGGCTTTCCATTTAAACATCTCTACCTTAGGAAAGTTCCCTGACCGTTCTATAAGGTGGGCTGGGTTCCATGGGTCTCCCCTAGTGCCCCAAGATCTGACAATCTTGTTTCCTAGGGGAAACCTAGCCACCCTAGTCTGCAAAGATGGAGAGTCTTGTCTCCTCAGAACCCAGCCCAGTGCCTGGTGTGTGGAAGCTGCTTACACCACCATTAGGAAATGGAATACTATGAAATAGATGGTCAGTGGTGAAGCATATGCATTTTCACCAGTGTCTTAAGATTCATGATTCCTTTACCCAGAATAAATGGTGCCAGAACCGGAGGAGGCTCAATACATGTCTGGTCTGGTTGTCCCAAATCACTGAATCACCAGGATTGCATTTTTAAGTCCTGGGCTCTATATAGTAATCAGGAAACTGCATTTGTAAAATTCAGAGGCTAATATTTATAAGCCATTGCTTTAGTTTACTTTCTCCTCTTTTCACAAATAGAAGATGAGGCCCAGAGAGGTTAAGGTGGTCCAACCTATAAGTAACACAGCCTGAAACAGGATCTGTCTCTGTCTGTCTGTCTATCTATCTATCTATCTATCTATCTACATTAGCATTTGTACTCAGAGCCTCATGCTTGCTAGGTAGATGCTCTTTTTACTGCTGAGCTATGCCTCCAGTCCTTTGTTGTGTGCTGGTTTTTCTTCTCTTTTTCCCTTTCCTTTCCTTCCCTTCCCTTCCCTTTCCTTTCCTTTCTTCTCTCCTCTCCTCCTTCCTTCCTTCCTTCTTTCCTTCCTTCCTTCCTTCTTTCCTTCCTTCCTTCCTTCCTGGTGCTGGTACTGGGGCTTGCACTCAGAGCCTGAGCATTGTCCTTGAACTTTTTTGCTCAATGCTAGTAATGCTCTACCACTTGAACCACAGCACTACCTGACATTTTACTGGTTAATTGGAGAAAGAGCCTCACCAGATACCAGTAGCTCACACCAATAATAGCTACTCAGGAGGCTGAGATCTGAGAATTGCAGTTTAAAGCAACCAGAAAACCAGAAGTGGCTCTGTGGCTCAAAGTGGGAGAGTGCTATCCTTGAGCAAAAGAGCTTGAGGACAGCACCCAGGCCCTGAGTTTAAGCCCCAGGATTGACAAAAAATCTCATAGACTTTCCTGCTTGAGCTAGCTTTGAACTGCTGGTCCTGGGGCTTGAACTCAGGGCCTGGGTGCTGTTCCTAAGTTTCTTTTGCTCATGGCTAGCACTCTACCACTTGAGCCACAATACCACTTCTCACTTTTTGTGAGTAGTTTAGTGGAGATAAGAGTCTCACAGGGTTAGGAAGCTCAGTGGTAGAATGCTTGCCATGCATGCATGAGGCCCTGGGTTCGATTCCTCATCACCACATAAGCAGAAAAAAAAACTCGGAAGTGGTGCTATGTCTCAAGTGGTAATGTGCTAGCCTTGAGCTGAAGAGCTGAGGGACAGCGCCCAGGCCCAGAGTTCAGGCCCCACGACGGGACCAAAAAAAAAAAAAAGAGTCTCACAGACTTTCCTGCCTGGGCTGGCTTTGAACTGTGATCCTCAAATCTCAGCCTTCTGAGTAGCTAGGATTACAGATGTAAGCCATCAGCACACGGTGTACTGCTTATTTTTTGAGACAGAGTCTGGCTTCCTGCCCAAGTGCACACCAAACACCATCTACTATGTCATATTTCCCATCAGAGCTAGGATCACAAGTGCATGCCACCATGTCCAGTCCCTTAACTTTTCTGCCCAGGCAGACCTTGAACTGTTATTCTCCCAATTGCCATTTTCCAAGTAGTTTACAGATGTAAATCACCAGGATCTAGCTGGAAACAGCATGTTTTGTGTGTACATGTATGTCATTCCTGGGGTTTGAACTCAAAACCTGTGCACTGTCCCTCAGCTTTTTCTTGCAAGGCTATCATTCTACCACTTGAGCCTCAGCTCTACTTCCAGCTTTTTTGGTGGTCAGTTGGAGATAAGAGGCTCACAGGACTTTCCTGCCCAGGCTGGCTTCGAACTGGGATCCTCAGAGTTTATCCTGAGTAACTAAGATTATAGGTAGGAGCCACTGGCATCCAGCAAGACAGCATCTTTTGATCTCAAGTTTCATGCAGAAATCTCAGACTCTGTTGAAGTCCAAGAGGGAATGGGCAGGGGGCCCTAAAGACAGATTCCCATCACCCCACTAAAGTGCCTCCCATACCATCATAGCAACCTCTGCTGTCCAGCTGGCTGGCCTGGTCACCACCCTGCAGTCTAATATGGATTTGTTTATTGTTTGAGATGAGATCTCCCTATGTAATCCAGGATGGTTGAACTTACCATCCTTTAGCCTCCTGACACCTGGGATTATATTTGCCACTACATTCTGCTATTTCTTTGCTTTTCTCATGGTAGTAGGGATTGAGTCCAGGACTTAACTGTCTCACACATTGCTAGGCAAGTGCTCTACCTCTGTGCTGCAGCTTCAGTCCTAGACTGACTATTTTGATTATATATATATATATAATATTTATATGTTATATATAATATATATATAGAAAACTCTCTGAATGTGGCTTAATTTTCTGCTCTTCAGACAGGAAGCGAGCAAAGGCCCCTGAACAGCCAACACCCCCCATTCAGGAAGAGCCGGAGCCTGTTAGCAATGTCCTACAAGGAGATGATATTCTTGCTTTAGGTATCAAGAAGGAAGACTTGGAGAAGGTAAGGGTGAATGAAATTCAGGGTTCCCTCACTGTGGACCCCTTTTCCTGCCAGCCTGTGTGGGCTGAAATATCAGCCGTGCTCACTGTGTTTCCACTGGTTCCCTGCTCAGAAGGAGTGTCTGATTCCACGGAAAAGAAGCCATTGACCACAAGTTCTTTTCACTTTAGCATCCGAAGGAATGCTTGTGCTGTTTTGTTTTTTTTTTTTTTTTCTGAGATTTTGTAGAACCACAGAGGACATGAGCAAATGAGATATCATACTTCTCAGAGGGGCATGTGCCATCAGGTTCACTTCCCAGGTAGGAGATGAGTGTATACATCCAAGGCAAAGACATGGATAAGGCTGTTTACCCCCTGCCTTTTTTTTTTAAACCTGAACTCTGTGGAAGTAATCAGCTATGATTTTTTTCTTCTCCAGGTGGTTCCAGTGTTTCATATCTGTTACATAGGCATTTCTTTATTATTATTATTTTTTTTTATTGTGAAAATACTGTACAGAGGGGTTACAATTACATGGGCAAGATAGTGAGTACATTTTTTATCCAGCATTGTAGCCTCTTCCTTTGTTTACCCTTCCCATCCCTTCCCATCCTTCCTCCCCCCCCCACCCAATCCTCTCCCCCCCCAAGTTGTAAAGTTCATTTTCGACATGACAACTTGTACTTCTCATTGTTGCAACAGGTCCACCTGTATCCTTATTTAAACGACTTGTTTTTCCCCTTCCCCTCCACAAATTATACCGACATCAAATACAGTGAAAGCAGGGGTTATACTGTGGGGGAGGGATATTATTTATTTTTTTGACATGAGTGGGGCTTGAACTCTGGGCCTGGGCGCTGTCCCTCATCTCTTCAGTTCAAGGCAAGTGCTCTACCACTTGATCCACAGTGCTACTTCCATTTTATTCTGGCAATTAATTGGAGATTAGAGTCTCATGGACTTTCCTGCCCAGGCTGGCTTTGAACTGGCATCCTCAGATCTCAGCCTCCTGAGTAGCTAGGATTACAGGCGCAAGCCACCAACACCTGGCTAGTATTATTAAAGTAGTTGCACGAAGAAGTTTCAATTCAATAAATAAATTTAGAGGTACAAAGCATCTTGATCAGTGTCACCTCTTCCATCTTTCCCCATCCCTGCCAACCCAAGCTATATTCTCAAGTTACCTGGCTGCATCTTCCAGCATATACAGTGACTGTGTTCTGCCCTTCCTCTCTCCATTCTTCTGCCTTCCTCCCTTTGACCCTCCCACCACTGACAAAACATGGCTTAGCTTCCTGACGTCCATTTTGCCAAACTAGCTAGTGTTCAGAGGAGTTACACCACTGGGATCCTACCACGAGTATGCCATACTTTAGTCCATTTACTTGTGCATATATGCATATGACCCTACGTTGATATTTCTTCTCTGGGACATCTGGATGGAGCTGGGAAGGCGTAAACCTTGGGGAAATCTCACCCTGAGAGACTGAGGCAGAAGGGCTGGGTGGTGCTCTTTCCCCTCATCTCAGATGACATGCTCTGTTGTTTCTCTTTAGCAACACATTCCTCAACTTATTAGTCCAGAAGGCAAGCCTGCTATTACCCAGAAATTTATCATCCGTAAGCTCAAACCCAAGGATTTGAGGAAGAAGGTTTCCCACTTGGTAGCACACTCTACTAATCCGGACATGACCGCCAAGCCCCTGGATTATTCTGGTATGGCTTGTTTTGGCTCTGGCACCACTAGGCTTTGAAGAAAAGTCTAATCTCTGAGCAAGTCATCCCCTGGGTAGTTTATATCTGCTATCCACAGCCCATCTTTAATCCCTCTTTTCCTTTCAGGTCTAGGTGACAAATTAGATGATGGTGACCAGATCCTACCTCATCATATCTTGGGGAGTCTCCAGGATTTCAAGAGAATTGCACTTGCTCGAGGGAACATCAAGGTAGGTTTGCTCAGAAAGGCCTGGCCTAGAGAAGTCACCATTTTAATGTGCCACCTGCAGGACCAAAGCAGGTGTGAGCTACAGAGACTCCAGTCTCTGGGCCTGAAGTCTGAGATGAAGATGACAAGTGACACCAACTCCCATGAAGCGATTTGCTTTCATTGTAAGCCACAAGATTTCCTATAGGGATGTAGAGCTAGCCTCGTGGAACCTAGAACTGAGAAGGCCAAACCCAGAAAGGTATCAGGACTCCAGGCCTAGATCCTTCCTCGGTTCTTTTGGCTGCACTGTGCTGATGTCATTGTTCCTTCTCTAGAGACGGGGCTGCTGTCCTCAGCATGGTGGAGAGTGGTGGTGTCTCACAGACCATGGGACCACCTTCCCATCATGCAGCACTTCTCTGTCTCTCAAATCCTTCACATCTGTTGGGTACCTGGAGAAAGGTGCAGTTCAGGAGTTGTGTGGGACAGAGCCATAGTCTTAAAAGAAAGTTCCCTTTCCGGTGGAGGAGCTGACAACCACTTTCAAGCCCCCCCCCCCCCCCCCGCCCCGGTTCTGCCATTAAATTTCTGTTACTTGTCTCCTTACAGTCCTGAAGAAGAGGGATTCTCGGCAGAGTAGAACAGCAGCAGAGGTCTAAGTTTCAGGAAATCTCTGCTGGGCCCCAGATCAGAGCTTCCCCCTCACCCCACTTTGCATGCCCGTGTTGTACTTTTCAGCTGGCTGAGATGATACACATAGAGCCCTATCAGAAGACTGTCATCTCAGCTAAAGAAGAGCCAGAACCAAAGGCCCCAAAGGAAGAGAAGAGACCTCCCTGGGCCCCACCTCCTCAACACAACTCTCTGAAAAACTGGCAGAGGCATGTCACCCTGTGGAAGAAGCAGCAGGAAGTCCTCAGCGGTGAGCAGCACAGACTGGGCCCCTGCCTGGCCTCCATCTGGCTTGGGGATTCTACTGTATGCTTTTTCTTTCCCCTACCTGTCCAGAGCCTGGGATCAAGCTGACCACATTTGTGCTGATCACTTCCAAGAGCTTCTTCCTCTCAAGGCTAAGTAGGTCCCAAATCAGGCCTGGGAGTAGGCTGCTAGCTGCATTTTTTTTCCTTTTTCTTCTTAATGCTGATATTAGGGCATGAAGTCATAGCATTGTACCTCATTTGGCTTGCTTTTTTTTTTTTTTTGGCCAGTCCTGGGGCTTGAACTCCAGGCCTGGATGCTGCCTCTGGCTACCTTTTGCTCAAGGCTAGCACTCAACCACTTGAGCCACAATACCACTTCCGACATTTTCTGTGATTAATTGGAGATAAGAGTCTCACAGCCTTTCTTTCCTGGGCTGGCTCTGAACTGCTATCCTCAGATCCCCAGCCTCCTGGTAGCTAGAATGAAAGGCATACACCACCAGCACCCAGCATCATTTGGCTTTTTATTGTTCAAGGCTATTGCTCTACCATTTGAGCCATAACTACACTTTGCCTTTTTGGTGGTTTACTTGGAGATAAGAGTCTCAACAGACTTTTCTGCCTAGTCTGGGTTTGAGCCTTGATCCTCAGGTCTCAGCCTCCTGAGTAGTTAGGATTATGGGAGTGAGTCACTGGTACCAGCTTTACAGCTGCATTTTTATCTCTCATTGTTCTAGAGCATCTGAACAAGCCAGTGAATGATCTGCTGATGCATAGTGGGGAGACCTACAGACGGATCCAGGAAGAGCGGGAACTCATTAGCAGAGTACTTCCAATGCAATATAATGAGAAAGTGAGGACTCGACCCCTAAGTGCCCTGGCATGGGTGCCCTGGCGCAGGGATGGCTTGCCTCAGGTTGCCTAGTTCGGGAATCTATCCATTGCAAAAAGACATTGTTAAGCCCTCCACTCAGTTCTGTTATGGACATGTTTGGGGGCTGGAAAAGCTATAGTGGGGTATCCTGAACACGGGGGTAAGTGGGTGCTTCGCTTCTACCACCAGGGTGGGAATGGCTCCTCAAAGGACGTGTCTGTGGTCAGTGGTACTCTTGTCTTCCCAGACCCCTCCCAGCCTCTAGCCAAGGTGTCAAGATGACCTAGTGCTTTGTCCTTCCTTGCCAGTGCTGCAAGACCACCGCTGGGTTCTGGAGCCCACTGGAATGCTTGGGCGATGAGATGACAGGTGTAATCATGACCAAGACAAAGACACAGTATGGCCTCGTGGAGCCCATCACTCACATCAGGAAGCCCTGCTCCATCCAGATGGAGATAGGTGAGGAACAGGGCTTTCAGCCCACTAGCTTCTTGTGCCCTGTGCAGGATGCACATCTGTGTGGCAGCATAGCTCTGCTGGGAGACAAACTTGGGACCCAAGCCAGATTTGTTGAGGCCTTGGGTGAATGACCTTCCAGAGGTCCAGTCCTGGCTTCTGTAAAGCAGCAACAGAAGTGGTAAGAAAGGCAGGGTAGGAGACTGGGCCATTGAGGAATTCTGAGCCACATTCAGGCGTTGACATCTGTAGTGTGACCAGTGGCCAGTTAGTATAAACCTGAGACTTCAAAGACTAGTTTTTTTGTTTTATAAAGAAAGTTTAGACTGGTGCTGGTGGCTCATGCCTGTAGTACAAGGTACTCAGGAAGCTAAGATTGGAGGCTCATGGTTCAAAGCCAGTCTAGGCAAGAAAGTCCATGAGACACTTCTTTTGTTGGTCATGGGGCTTGAACTCAGAGCCAGAGCTCTGTCGCTGAGCTCTTTTTGCTCAAGGCTAGTAGTGCTCTACTACTTTGAGCTACAGATCCACTTTTTTCTGGTTGTTAATTGGAGATGAACAACCTTTCCTGCCTGGGCTGGCTTTAAACCATGATCCTCAGATCTCAGCCTCCTGAGTAGCTAGGGTTACAGGCATGAGCCACCAGTGCCTAGCTTCCATGAGACTTTTATCTCCTTACCTGCATAAAGGCAGAAGTGGAGTTGGGACTGAAGTGGTAGAATATAAGCCTGTGGAAAAGCTAAGGGATAGTGTCCAGGCTCTGATTTCAAGCACCAAAAAAGTAGATATATCTATATAGAGATATCTATTTGGATATAGATAGATACATAGATATCTTTCTGGCTGCTGGTGGCTTATACCTGTAATACTAGCTACTCTGGAGGCTGAGATCTGAGGATCAAGAGGTTGAGATCTGAAGATCAAAGTTCAAAGCCAGCCTGGGCAAGAAAATATGTAAGACTATCATCAAATAAAACTATTCAAAAAAGCCAGAAATGGCACTGTGGCTCAAGTGGTAGAGCGCTAGCCTTGAGCACAAGAAGTTCAGGGACAGCACCCATGCTCTGAGTTCAAGTTAGATAGATGCAGCTATCTATATATATCACATGTATGATATAGTCTATCAATCCATTTTATACTGATTCATGTGAGATGATAATTTTGATGTACTGACTTAGACAAATATTAAAATGACTCTCACCTCTTCTGACTATTTCAACATGGCATCTAGAGAATTTGAACTGGCACTCATGGTTGGCATTGTATTTTGGCTTTGGAGTCCACCGGTCTATCTGGGTTCAGGTCCTGGCTAAGGTGACTTTCTGAATTCCAGTGAGATATTTGATCTTTCTGGTCTTTGGTTCCCCAGGTGAGGACTACTCAGGGTTATGAGTGGGGGTTAAAAGAGACACGCTATATGTTAAAATATTCTGATCTATTGTTAATCAACCACCAATAGGCAGCTGCTATTGTTATTTTGATGATACTGCAAAGATTTGGCTGTTTGGGAGGTAATTTTCCAGGAGTCCAGTGTGGAGCTGCTGAGGAGTTATGAGGAGCAGCCAGCTGCCCCAGGGAAAAGGCTAGATTCACCATCATTCTCAGAAACTCTATTAGGAAGGCTGTTCTTAGGGCTCCTGGATAGTAGGTGCGGAGGGGTGGAATAGCAGCCTGTGCTGAGGGTCTTCTGACTCCTTCCCACTTTAGGATTACTAGATAAGAAGGATGCTTGGTACCGCTACACCTGGGACCGGAGTCTGTTTCTGATCTACCGACGCAAGGAGCTGAAGGACCTCATGGCTGAGCTGGATTTTAGCCAGCAGGTTAGTAACACTCTTCTCATGCCTGGGGTGGGAAATCTTCAGCTTCCAGTCAACTAATCTTTGCTATCCCTATCCCTCCGAGGATATTGATGGCCTGGAAGTGGTAGGCCAAGGGCAGTCCTTCTCATCCCAAACAGTGGACGATTACTCAGTGTTTGAAAGGAACGCAGAAAGCTCCTCCTCGGAAGATACTATGTGAGTGGAGCCTGTGCTCCAGAGAGAGCTCCTAGAGGGTATAGCCTGGGCAGGCTTCCCTCCCTGAATGTCTGGGCTCCATCCCAGCCTTTAGTGCTAGCTCATTCCAGCACCATGCTAGCTTTCCTATCACTGTCTGCCTTTTTCCAACAACCAGTACCTAATGGGCTTCCTCCACATGTTGCTTTATGAGTTAAATGGACTCTCCCGTGACTCCTGCTGTGTTCCTAACAGCTCAGAGGTCTCATCTCAAGGAATAGATGGGGAGAAGCTGAGCGGGAGCAGGTGGGTCACACACCACTGCTGGGCAGAGCTGATGATGGCTCTAAACCATCATGACAGTTTCCATGGGTTCCATGTGGCCTTGATGATGCAGCCCATGGGGAAGTTAAGTCATTGTTTTTTTCTTACAGAGATTTACTTAGCTGTTACCCTGATTCAGGCCCCATGCCTATTCTTGGCCCTTCTCTGATGTTCTGTGGGAAGCCTGCTGTCTGGATCAGAAACAGTAACCCAAAGGGCAAGGTAAACAACCTCACTTACTTGCAGCTCCAAGCTCACGTGAGCAGCTCCAAGAGGTGTAGCAGTCATAAGGAGTCTGCATGGTCTCCTATTTGTGTTTTTATCTGGTCACACATTGAGCATGTCTGAAAATGGTAACAAGCAACACTGACTTGAGCAAGAATAAAATCATAAGACTGCAAAGAGAATGTCACAAGCTACTTCGTATCTAGGATCCCTCCTCCCCACAAGAAGGCAAATAGCAAAACTCTTGCATGCAGTTAGGGTCTTAGGATGATGCTGAAATATATTCTGCAGATGCTGAGAAGCAGAAATGTTCATTGGGTCTGGGAACTGGTGGCTCACACCTGTAATCCTAACTACTCAGGAAGCTGAACTCTGAGGATTAAGGTTCAAAGCCAGCCCAGGCAGGAAAGTCTGGAGTCTCTCATCTCCAATTAATGACCAAAAAGCCTGAAGTGAAGCTGTGACTCAAGTGGTAGAGCACCAGCCTTGAGCAATAAAGCTAAGGAACAGTGCCCAGACCCTGAGTTCAAGACCTAGGACTTGTTAAGAAAAAAGAAAAAGAAATGTTTATTGTGTATGTATAACATATATTTCTCACTATTGATGGTAACCTCAGAGGCACACACTATTGAAGTTCTAAAGCACTTGGAAGGTGGCCAGGACCTGGAGACTTCTAGTACAAAACCCAAAGAAGTTCCAGGCAAACTAAGATGAGTTGGTTTACCTTAGGGCAGGACCTCCAGCCTAGATGGTTCTCATACCTGCCCTTTCCCAGAGGAATGTTGGAATTGCTGTTCGCTTGACTTTCGAAAATCTTGAAGGGGAGAAAACATCTTCAGAACTGACCGTGGTCAACAATGGCACTGTGGCCATTTGGTATGACTGGCGACGACAGCCACAGATGGACTGTTTCCAAGACCTGAAGAGAAATAGGATGCAGAGATTTTACTTCAACAACCGGGAAGGTACTGGAAGCTGCCCTCTTCTTGATCCAGCTCCTGTTTTTTTTGTCTTTCTGTGTCTGGGAGATGAGATCTGCTAATTAACGGCAGCTCTTGCAAGTTTTAAGCCCTTTATCTCCTGGTCCTGACCCTCCCCCCACATTTCTGCTGAAATATGTGTTCTATGTATTGGGAGAATGATAAACTCTTGAGAACACAGGTGAAGAGCCTCCCCCCTTTCCCCCCTCCACTCCCTGACCAGATTGTAGAAATGTTCTATGTGCACAGACCCAGGGCCTAGACTGACCAACCACCCTTGTTGGCATTCAAAGTCACACATTCCAAACTAGGTAAACTAGGATGGCTGGTCACCAGACCTAGGCCATAATGAAACTTAGTGAACTAACTCTGGGGCTCAGTGAACTTTGCAGGGCTCAGCTAGCTCCTACCGATTGAAAACCTCTGCCTTTTGTCCCTCACAGGTGTAATTCTGCCTGGAGAAATGAAAAAGTTTACCTTCTTCTTCAAGTCAGTGAATGCTGGGGTCTTTAGGGAATCCTGGGAGTTTGGAACCCACCCCACCCTTCTGGGAGGTTCTATCCTGCAGGTCAACCTCCTCGCAGTGTCCCTGGCCCAGGACATTTTTAGGGAGGAGAGGTTGTTGCTGGAGGTAAGGGACCCAGAACCTAATTCGCTGAGGACACAAGATATGTTATCCTGGTGTTCTTTCTGGAAGTGCCTGCCGGTGGGGATCTTATTTCTTCTAGCCCAAGTGTGTACATGCGTGCGCACGCACATGCGCGCACACACACACACACACACACAGTGAATATTTCACCAACAGGTGACTACTATTACTCAACAAACACCTTTCTGGGCTTTGTGATGTAGGCAGGTGGGGCGGGGCTAGTGCAGGACAGCATGCCAGCCCACTGTGTTTAATGCCCATTAAGTTAGAAAGAAATGAGCCCCAGAGCCCCAGGGTACAGAGTCTGTGGAAGTACTTAGAGTCCAATTGGATCATGTGACTCTTTTATGGTGCCCTTGGTTTGTTCACTGTTATCTGATACTGTACAAGTGGAACAGTATTAGACTGACAAGGTTTTCAAACCAGATACGATTTCCAATAGCATATTTCCCCAGCCCACTTGGTAAGCCAATGCCCTGGAGTGAGTGTGAGGTGGGACCTGGGAATCTACTGCCCACATCCCCCAATTAGTCTTGGTATGGTCATTTCTTGCTGTGGTTCTTGAGATTCTATGGAAAGCTGTGCTTTTATGGTCCCTGTGGCCCTGCAGACCCAGCTACCTATTTCAGTGGGCAAAGTGGTGACATGTCAGGTTTGCTTTATTTACTGACTAACGGAGAGACGCATAAAAAAATGTTCTTCTACTGGGTTTCTGGGATCCCGACTGCATGGTGCCCAAGTGTGTTCCCTGGCCCCTGCCCTGTCTTCCTCATCTAGGGGAAATGCAAACCCAGTGCACAAACACTGTCCCATCAGACTGATGTCTCGATCTTCTCATTCCTCTTTTAGGGAACTAAGATATTTTGACAGACCCAGAGGTTTTTTGAGTCTTAGAATAGCTGTGTGTGGATAAGTAATATATATATATATATAGAGAGAGAGACAGACAGACAGACAGACAGACAGACAGAGAGACAGACAGAGACAGACAGACAGATGAGGACAGGAAAGCCTCATCTGGAAGGGACTACATGGGAGCTGAGAGATTGGGCTGCCATCTGGTATCACCTTCCCTTCTCCAGAGCGAGCTGAATGCCCAAGAGGCAATCACCGTTGCAAAGAGTATGCTGGAGGAGATTCTGAGGGGGGTCTTGTCCCCAGAGCGCACACCATCCCCCGTGGATGCCTGTCTCACAGAGGAGCAATTATTTCAGCACAAGCATCCCCAGGTACAGGCCAGGCACTCCATGTTGTTCTCGGTGACTGTAGTAGCAGACCATCCTATGTGCCAGGACTTTTATGAGTAACTTACTTTCTCTTCAGAGCAGTCCAGTGACACATCCTTTCTGTTTGTGTCCACATTAACAGCAGCCATTATTGTGCCCAAGTTGCTGTTTAGCAAGCTGATACTGAATGGGAATAGTCAAAATGTCATAACTCCTCCACTCCAACCCATCTTTTCTGGAGGCCCAGTTTTAAATGGGATATGCTTAGGTTGAAGGGGAAATGGGTGAGTCCCTCTGGCCATTGGCTTCCTTTCTGCCTCCTACTCAAGGCAGTGGGAGAAACCCCAGCTGACTGGCATGGGCCCAGGGTGCCTGGCCAGCCTCTCCCTTACTTGTTGCCTCTTAACCTCTGCTGCAGTTGTATTACAAGCATCAAGTGATACAAAATTTGCACCAGTTGTGGCATGAGTATATAATCCTGCCCTTCAAAGCCCAAGATCTCTGGCTAAACCAGGATGAGCGCCTGAGCCCCAAGGCCCGTGGCACCACAGCTCCAACAGCCTATAAGGGAAAGAAGAGCCCAGCTGAGCACCTGGCCCACATTAGGAGCCTTCTCATGGAGCCATCTCAGCAGGAGCGTGATGGCTACAGGGACTCCCGAGATTCTTCCCTGCCCCAGAGGCATGGAGGAGACCTCAGGTTCTCTCAACGGAGGAGCATCATGGAGGAGGTCCTGGTGGAGGAGAGCCCAGACCTGGAGGGCACCAGGAACCCTTGGGAGTCAGACAGCCTGCCCCTGCCTGAGTGGAACCTCAGTCTGGTGGACTTCAGAAAGGTACTCCCCCTCCTTTTCCTTCTCCTCCCCCTCCTCCCCCTCTTCTCCCTCCTCCTGCTGCTTTTCCTCCTCCTCTTTTTCCTTCTTCCTTCCTCTCCTCCTCCTCCCTCTTCTTCCTCTTCATTTTCTTCTTCCTCTTCCTCTTCCCCTTCTCCAACTTTTCCTTTTTTTTTTTTTTGTACCATTACTGGGGCTTGATCTCGGAGTCTCGCGCTCTTAGCTCATGGCTGGTGCTCTATCACTTGAAACACGCTTCCAGTTCCCAGAAAGATGCTTCCAAGACTCAGAAGGGGTTGGTGGAAAGTAGCACTGAACAGCAAGATGTGGTGAACTGGTCCTGAACCCACAGGGAAGGAAGGGCCCAGAAGCTCCCCTTGACCAAAGGATAAAGAGATCAAATCTTCTAAGAGAACAAAGAAAACGATCTTTGGGGCCAGTTTTTTCATAGGTTGTAGGAAGGATTCCCTCCGTGAGTCTGGAAAACCTTGCAGAAGGGGGTTGATAGGTGGGGAGCTCCCAGGCCACCACAGAGTGTACCCCAGCCTCTTGGTTTCTGCTTCATCTACCTGTCCCCTTGTCACTATGCCTGACACTGGAGGACACTCTTGGAGCCCTGGGGTAGAACAGTTAGTGATCCATGATGCCCATGACTGTTAACTAGGCAGTGATGACACTCCCTGAGGAGCACCAGAGAGAAAGTGCCCTAGCCCGGCTCAACAAGGCAGCACTGGAGCTGTGCCAGGATCAGATGCCATTGCAGTCCAACCTCCTGCACCAGCTGTGGTAGGTGCCCCCCCCCCACACCCCAGTTGAGTTGTATCTGGGCAGAGATCCTGGACTAGCAGTCCAAGACTCAAGGGGCTGAGCTCCACTTGAGCTCAATTTGCCATACTCTGGAATCTGCTTCTTCTCCTCTCCCCTCCCCCCACCATTTGGCTGTAACCTCAAGGCAACAGTCACAGCAGGGAGGTTTCCCCCTTTCTCTTCTCACTGAGATGAAGAATGAGGACCAAAAGAGAAGGTAAAGAGCACCAAGTGGCAGGTTCAGTAAATGTGTTGCGTCTCTCTTGTCAACATTGTCTGTTTAGCGCTTGCCTGGATAGGCGTGGGGACCCATCAAACATGGCCCCTCCCTGGAGCCTCATGCTGGAAAGCTCATGCAAGGCTCATGCCTTCCAGTGGCACTGGAGCCATGGCTCCAAGCTGGAGTTTAGACTGCTGAAGTAGGACTGAGTTTATGCAGGCCTCTGAACCCTCATCCTAGACCATCTTTTCTTGGTTATTGCTGCAGGGCAGCCAGACTCCCATCTGAGCACTTAACATGGTGCTGGGGAGGGTGCTGGCTGCTTGGTGACCTAACAGCAATCTGGGAGTTCTTGGCACTGGGGTCTTTGAGACACCTGAGTGTCTGCATGTTCAGGGACAAATGAAGAATGATGGCCTTTTTCAATGTGTCTTGCTCTCTAGTTTGCAACTGTGGCGTGATATGATTGACAGCATGGTGGGCCATTCTCTATGGCTAAGGGTTGTGCTGGGCCTGCCTGAGAAGGAGACCATCTATGTGGAGGTTCCAGAAGAGACAGGTCAGGCACACTTCTGTGTGATCTTCCCCAGCTCTCTGCCCTGATGCCTCTGGTACCTTTGCCATTTGTCCTCCTGTGGTGGACACTGCCAGGTTGAGTCCATGGAGTGGGTCCTTGTCACCATTCTATCAGAATTTGAGACCTAGAAGCTGCCTCAGTGACCATTGTAGAGAAGTCCCTTGTCTTGCAAAAGTAGAGTCCCAGAGACTATATGTGGAACTGGGTCAACAACCTAGGTCTCTTGATCCAGATGCTTAAATGGGGTTCTTGAGGTAAGCATGTGGTGCTGAAGACTCTCCTCTGCTGTCAACGTGTGGGAATTCTCCCAAGTCGGCTGAGAACAGGGTTCAAAACCATTGCCCTTGTGTGTGTGTGTGTGTGTGTGTGCGCGCGCGTGCACACACACATGCACCCGTGTGTGCCCATACTGGGTCTTTGAACTGCAAATCCTCAGATCTCAGCCTCCTGAGTAGGTAGATTTGCAGGTATTGAGCCAGTGCCAGGTTAAGGCCATTCCCTTTTATTATCCCATGTTGTCTCAGCCTTGTCATAAAGTCACAGGAGCCTGCTACATGTGTCTTCCACTCATCATCTTTAGGTCGAAAATTATCTCCTACTTCAGAAGCCAAAACACCAACCGTGAAAGTTGGGAAAGAAGAACGAAAAGTGGCAGCCCAAGAAAAGAAGCAATTGGGAGTCAGAGAGAAAGATGACAAAAAAGGAGTCAAGACACCAGGGAAAGAGGCATGCTGGGACATGGTTGGGTTCCTAGCCCTGGGTTGGGCTGGGAAAGGTGGGCAGCTCAAAGGCCAGCTCTCCCAGAGAGCTACTGGGGAGAGAAACTGCCCTGGAACCACTGAAGGCTATGTCTGTCCATCTCTCCAAGCAGGACCGGCTCAATAGTAAGAAGCAGAAGGCCAAAGACGAAAAGAAAGTAATCAAAACTTCAAGTCGAGACAGGCTTGCCTCAGAAGATCCTGCAGCAATGGACACAACCACATCTTCCCAGGAGCCAACGGATCCCCAGGTCATGGAGAAGTACACCCGACGGCTGTACACAGAGGTGACCCCTTGCCCCATTCATTCCACTAATCCCACCAGTGTGTGCCCTGTTTCGTCAGTGGACCATCATTCAGAAACTTGAGGAGAGATGGAGGGTGGCCAGGGAGAGAGCCTGAGGCTGGGGGAGCAATATACAGAGGAGAAAGGAAGCTCACTTAGTGGGAAGAAAGAGCAGCTGCAGACAAGGCATGTGGGTGGCCATGTGAGGTTTTCTCTGTGAGCTGAAAAATCACGCAGATTTGGCATGGAGGAGTGACATGGGTCTACTTAAGTTCTTAAGAATTACTCTGGCTGCCGTGCGGAAAACAGAATCTCAGGGAACGGAGAGGAAGAAGTCCTTTCCTTTCTGCTGTTTCCACCTCTCCTTGTGATGTTCACTCTGGGGATGTGTTTCTTGGGAGAAGAACACATAGAGTTGTCTTAGCTTTCTGTCGCTGTAACAAAATGCCACAGATGGGGTGATTTATAAAGCAAGAAGTTTATTTTGAGACTAGGAAGTCCAAAGGCCTGGCACTGGGAAAGGCTTTGTGCTGCTTCAACTCATGGTGGAAAGCAGAAGAGCAAGTAGGCATGTGCAGAAGGGGCGAAAGATAAGAGCCTTACTTCCTAACCAGTTAGAATCTCTTTGTAAGCATGGAACCAATCCTTGGAGATCCCGCCATGTCTCAACTGTGAGCATTTCAGTGGGAGCATCAGAAGGGACCAATAGCTTCAAAGGATAGCCAGTTTGCATCCACTGAAAAGACTTCTTTTTTTTTTTTGACTGGTTCTGGGGCTCAAACTCTGGACCTGGGCACTGTCCCTGAGTTCCTTTTTGCTCAAGGCTAGCGTCTTACTACTTGAGCCACAGCATCACTTCAGACTTTCTCTGTGATTAGAGATAAGAGTCTCATAGATCTTCAGATCTCAGCCTCCTGAGTAGCTAAGGTTATAGGTGCAAGCCACCGGTGCCTGGCTGGAAAGACTTTATCATGCTCTGTTCTTAAGCACCAGTCCTTAGAGATTCACACGGGGTTTTTGTTTTTATCTTCTGATACTGTGGCTTTGGGAGAGGGAGAAGGGAGGTCTACGAAGCCACACTCGATGTGTCAGAGTATCTAATGGTGAGGATTTGTCTCCCTTGGATGTGGGCAGTTGGGGAGCTGGATTATATCATGGTGCATATGGTAACACTCCGGATTTTGCTTGATCAGTAGTTCCATTTGCTGCTGGTGACATCACTAAACTTTCTGATGCTTGATGGGGTCTAGAGAGTAAATAAAGGGCTCAGAGGACTCAGAGTATAAGCTGTTCCTTGGCTGTAGGATACTCTGAATCAATTTGCTCAGGCTTGTGTGGTCTAGCCCCATTGGAGGGCTCTGTCTTGGAGACCTTCCAGTATATGGATCTATGATCTTACAGGAAGGGCAGATGGCTGGTAAGCCAAGAGTAGAATTGGGACTGAGCCCAGTCTCACCCCAGGTCTGAAAAATATAACTATTTACAAAACCACAAGTACAACTTTGGTTCCCTCATCTCCTGTTTTTTGTTTTTTTTTTTTGTTTGTTTTTTTTCTTTCTCCTTTTGTGGTGCTTGAGATTTTGAAATAAGGGCATCACACTTACAAAGGCTTTCTTTTCTTTCCTTTTTTTCTGGTCCTGGGGCTTGAACTTGGGACCTGGGCACTGTCCCTGAGTTTCTTTGTGCTCAAGGCTAGCACTCTACTTCTGGGTGAAATCAGAGACTCACGTGGGACTAGGAATGTAGCTTAGAGGTACAGTGCTTGCCTGGAATGCATGAAGCCCTGAGTTCAATTCCTTGGTCCCACATAAACAAACAAACAGAACAGAACAAAAAGAGTCTCGCAGACTTTCCTGCTCCTGGGCTAGCTTCAATCCTCAGATTTCAGCCTCTTGAGTAGCCAGGATTACAGGTGTGAGCCACCAACACCCAACCTCCATCCCTTTTTTGCTTTAGTTATTTTTCAGGAAAGTCTTGCATTTTTACCCATTGTGGTCCTTGGATAGCAATTCTCCTACTCATGGGCTCCTATGTACCTGGGATCACAGGTACTCACCACCACATCAGCCCTCTGTTTACTTTCTTGTAGCCAGACGACATGTAGGTACCTGCGGTGTAACAAATTTTTGTGTGTGGTGTCTGTTCCATTCTTCTAGGTCTATGGGCTGCTAGAGTCCCTGCTGTCCGACATGATGGTCCTGGCTGACGAGATCAGCTCTATGACTGTCTACAACTCTTGAACCCAAGCAACCTCACAGGAAACATGTTAACAAGTCAATAAAGGACCTTTTGGTTTCTACCACTTGGGTTGTGCCTCTGAGTCTTGGATGTTGGATTGCAATGAGGTCAATTTGTGACCTCCCATGTCCTTCCTGCCCTTAGATTCTCCTTCTCCTAGTTCCTGGAGCTGTTCCCATCTAGGGAAGTGATGTGGGGGTGACAAGTAGAAGAGCAAGTTGGTAGCAGGACAAGGAATAAAGTCAGGTGACAGGATGCTTAGTCCCTTCCCTTAGACCTGCCTTGGCCCACACTTTTAAGATCATGCCTCCTGGAGCTAGTCAGGTGTCCTCACTGAATATGACAACATCTGTGACTACAAGTAGAACTCATAGGACTCCCTCGGATCCTCCACTTCGCTTGGGCTCCCAAGTCTCCAACATGACACTCGCTATGACTCTTAAACCCTAAAAGTTCACCCCCATTGGCCTCAGCCAGAAATCATTATTTTGGGTTCTGTTTGTTCCTTGTGGATATCTATGAAGCCCTGAGCCATTTTTCTGCCATGATTGCACACTCCTTTAATCCTAGCACTTAAGTAGCTGAGGCAGGGAGATCTTCAGTTTGAGGCTAGCCCAGACTGAATTGCAAGGCATTACTATAAAGAAAAAAATAAAAAAGCTGGGCTCTGGTGGCTCATGCCTGTAATCCTAGCTACTCAGGAGGCTGAGATCTGAGGATCAGAGTTCAAAGCCACCCTGGGCAAGAAAGTCTATGAGACTCTTATCTCCAATTAACCACCAGAAAACCGGAATTGATGCTGTGGCTCCAGTAGTAGAGCATTCGCCTTGAGCTGAAGAGCTGAGGGACAGTGCCTAGGCCCAGAGTTCAAGCCCTATGACCAAAAAAAGAAAAAAGAAAAAGAAAAAAGAAAAAAAAAAAGAAAAGAAAAAGAAAGAGGTGGGGGGAGGGGAAAATGGGAGCAAAACAGGGAGGGGGTAAAATGTTGGACAAGAAATGTATTCATTACCTTATTTATGTAACTGTAACCCCTTTGTATATCACCTTTACAATTAAAGTAAATTTAAAAGAAAAAAGAGCTTTAAGAATTCCTACTTCCTAGCTAGGCACCAGTACTTCATGCCTATAATCCCAGTGAGATCAGAGGATCATGGTTCAAAGCCTGCCAGCCAGGAAAATCTGTGAGACTCTCATCTCCAAGCCAGAAATGGAGCTGTGGTTCAAGTGGCAGACTGCTAGCCTTGAGCATAGGGACGAGCACCCAGACACTGAGTTCAAGCCCAGGACCTGCACCAAACAGCAACAAATTCCCACTTCCTTATGGAACTGAGGAATGTGGGCTTGGAAGGGTGGCGGCTTGGGAGGAAAGGTGCCACCTGCTCAGACCAGTGCCACATAGCTTTCTGTCATAACTCTGCACAGCAAATGGCAATGGGCTGATGGAGCAGGAATGGTGCTTAGGGGATGGGGGGTGGGGGGAGGCTTGGCTTGAAGTCTCCAGGACTGATAAGGAACTCTCTGGCCTGCAGCAGCCTTCAAGAGAGACAGGAGAGGAAAAGGTTTGGAGAGAGAGGACAAGGCACTCCTTGAGTTGGAGGGGCAGAGCTCAGTGTCCCCTCAAGGAGGCTGGAGAGTCCAGCAGGGGACCCCAGCAGGCGCCAGTCACTAGGCTCCTGTCACTAAAAGAGGAAGGGGTGGGCTTGGCAGAGGCGTTGCAGCTCCCTCCCTTTTCCTGCTGAAGAGGCAGGCGAAGGGTTAATTCATTTCAGAATGGGAGTGGGTCAGGTCCAGATCTGCACCTCTGGGGCCACTCCTCCCCGCTTCCCCCAGCAGGCAGGTGGGTGGCCACCTCTGAAAGCACCGCCTGCAGGCCACAGGAAGGGGTTAATGCACCGCCCTGCCCTGCGTCCTCCTGTGTCCTGTTACTGCTGAGACAGACCTGCCCTGCCAGCTGAGCAACTTTCCTCCGGAGTGTGTGTGTGTGTGTGCCGGCTGGCTGGCCGCAAGAGTCCAGCCCTGCTGCAGGCCCCCACACTGCCATTGTGAAGGGTCCCTCCCTCCCCGTAGAGGGTGGGTTTCCAGAACTGGGGGCCACGGTTCATGGCTCTGGACCTGCTCTTGAGGCTGTGCTGTGCCCCTGCCACGCGGGTCAGAGGGTCACTGCAGAGACTGCTTGGGCCGGGGCTAAGGGAGCCCACACAGGAGGTAAGCACTCTTCCAGGGCATCTTGAGGGTGGTGGCACCTTGCATGGGAGGTCAGGAGACAAAAGAGCGGGCTGGGGGCAGATGAAATGGTGGGCTGGGCTGTGGAGAACCTAAAGGCTTCTTACTTGAGTCCTTTCCTGCCTCCCTGACATCTTCAGGAAGGGTGGCACTTAGCATCTTTTAGGACAGTCCTCACTCCGCTGCCCCCTCTTCCTCAACCCCCCTAAGTCCCCCTCCCCCCCTGCACATGAAGCTCAAATTAGCCGGCAGAAGCTTAGGGGCTAGCAAGATGATTCCCTGCCCCCGCCCCCCAGCCCATCCCCAGCAGCAGGAAGGGCACTGCCACTCCCCTCCCCCTCCCCCTGCTGTGTGCATTGGACCTGGTGGAGGGCAGAGGACAGGGTGGGGGATGCTGGGTGGTGGGGGCACACACAAGACTTTGGCAAACTCGTGCACATGACTGGACAGATCTGGGTTCTTTTCGTCTCTCTGAACCCTGACTCTGGGGATGCCATCTGCTTCCTCCAACCTGACTTTTGGGGGAACTCTCTAGCTCCTCGCCTCTTTTCTTCCTACTGTCTGTCCAATCTGTGAGCTCTGAGAAGGGAACCCCCCACCCCAAGTTCTTATTGAGACCACCTTGTGTACAGGAGACATAGTGTTTATACTCAGCTCCCCCTCCCCCTACATACGCCCCTTCGCAGCTGGGTCCTCTGCCTCCAGCCTCTCCCCATCTCTGAAGTGGCCTCTCCAAGCCTGTTTTCTCAGTGTCCTTCCCTCCACCTGACAGGGTCTGGCTCAAGGTCACTGCAGTAATTCCATACCGACTGCCCGGGGCTGCCTCTGCTGCTGCTGCCACCGCCGCCGCCACCACCGCCTTATCGGCAGCTGGGTTTGTGTTTCACTCCCTTTTATTCCTGAGCATATTGTGTTCGATAAAACCCTTTTGCTTGTAACTCGCCTGGCAGGGCTCCCGGCGCCCGCTCCCGCCTTCCTTCCTTTCCTCCCCCCCTCTTCCTTCCTACCTTGGCTCCTCAAACTCCATGGCTCCTCCCTGTTTCTGATGCTTCCCTTCTCCTAGCTTGAGCAGAGATGGGCTGAAAATGCCCACCTCCTTTTGACAAGCGAAGTCCAGGAAGAGACCCTAGCCCCACACAGAGGGCCCCCTCCCACTAAAGCCAGTGTCCCCACCCAGGAAGGCCTGCCCATGCCCAGGCAGCTAGGCCCTGCCAGGGCTCTGGTGGAGTCAGGATTACCGACTGGTTCTGCTAGTTCCAGGGGCCAGAGGGAGGGGCATAGGATGGGGCGGGCTTCCAGCACAACTATTCCCGAATTGACTGTGCCACTACTAGCCTCCCTCCCACCCAGGGGGTGAAGACAGGTCTGAGTCACATCCAGGGGGAAGGGCGGGAGTTAAACAAGTTGTGGCTGTGGCATCTTCCACAAAAGGTCTGCCACGGGCTGGACGGAAAGACAGACAGCAAACAGAAGGTAGGCAGCTCTTGGGGCCAGGTGCATTCCTAACTCCCAGGGATCCCAGGCTCCTGGGCCCTGGGATGGGGGTGGGGGGAACCTGCCAAGGCTTGTGAGTGGTGGCTTTGAACTGAGCCTGGCTGGCGATCATTTGATCCATCATTGGTTTGCTTCACTGTGCTGGGCTGGAAGGAGAGTAGTGGAGGTTGGGGGGGCGGGCAGAGGCTGTGAAGCAGGACAAGCCTTCTGGTTACTGTTCCCAGCCTCCTGGGTGCTAGCGGAGGCACAGTTTCAGCAGGGACAGGAGGGTGCTGCAGGCAAGCGAGCTCTTCACCTGTGTGGAGTTTCCTGGGGGAAAGCACCTGGACACACGCACACACACACACACACACACACACACACACACACACACACACACACACACACACACACACACACGGCTTTGCTTTCTGGTAGGGCCTTGGGAGAGCTCTTCTTTAGGGCCTAGTCCCGAGGCCAGGGGAAGGAGATGAGCAGGCCCTGATTTTCCTCTTGGACTGTCAGAGGTCTGCCATGTGCTTGAGCCTTGGAGATCTGTCCTTCCCTTTGTGAACTTCTCATTCTGCCTGAAACCCAAACTAGGTGACACTAACAAGAAGTATTTGTTAGTCTGGTGGAGCTTTAGGTGTCAGTCCCAGCCCAGCCACCTACATTCCACGTGACATGGTCAGATTGCTGGCCTTACTGCTCCTGTGTTTGCCTGTGGGTGGTTGGGTGGTAGAGTCTGGGTCTCTGCCAGGCAGGCTTCCCTACAGGTTCCTTCTTTTAGCCTTCTGGCCTTGATGGTTTTTCCACTTCCTCACCTTTCCTTAGAGTCTTTCATCTCCCCTCAGCCATCACCTCCTCCAGGAGGTCTTCCCCTGGCTTTCTTCCCTTGCGTCTTCTGTATCTCCTGACATACTCACTCTGGGCTGTGTTTATCTGTACATGGTCACTGGATGTGCGTGGGTCAAGCATGTGGGCTGAGACTGGCTTAGTGCCTGGCTCAGAAAAGGCCCCCAGGAAAGAAGAGTGAATGGAGAAGTCAGAAAGGTCAGACAGGAACAAGGTGGATGCTCCTAGCAGTCCCATGAGGGTCCTTGATGAGCCAAGAGTTCATGTGGGTGGCCTGGGGCTATCCCAATCCCCACTCAACAGCTTTGTGATCTTGAGCCCATCATGGAATCCATCCATGATTCTTATTATCCCCCCCCATCTGTGAGTGGAGGGGGATGACTACAGTATCTTGGGGCGAGCCCAGAGCATGGGACCTAGCCCTGCCTGAGTAACAGAAGAAAAATAAGAGCTAGGAACCAGGGCTCACCCCTCC